TCCTGCCCCAGGCTCGGCATCCTGGGCCCCAAGGAGGGAGCCAGTTACCCCCTAATCCAGTCCCTACCGCCCGGGTCTCAGAAACGGCGCCTGACTTCTGACTTTCCTCTCCTCCCTTGACTGTACACAGTTCCAGAAAGGAAAACGAGAGGAATCGCCATGCACTGGAGAAGGGAAGAGGGGCACGGAGTCAGACGCAGCTCGGTTTCTTGGAAGCCTTAATTAAACACAAGTGACTGGGAGAAGGTGTGGAGGAGTCCAGGGACAGAAAAGCCATCTGATAATCTGGACGGGGGAAGGCGCCTGGCCTGGTGGGGTGGGCACTCAGCAGCATCTAAGCCACAGGACGGGAGCAAGGGAACCTAAGGTCACTCTCTTCTCAGTGTACCAGGTCTGGCTTCTCTGAGGGGTCAGATCTCAGGCCAAGCCCTAAAGAATGGAGGCATGAAGCTGCCACTTCAGGACTGCGGTGGAGTAAGGTGGGGTAGGTAATGGAAGGAACTCTGGCCTGGGACCTGGGGCTGCCACCTGCACCCCCACATGGGTCCTACAGTATGAGCTGTGCCAAGTCCAAGGTCGTCTGTGGGCAAACGGATGCTCAAAGCCACAGTGGATGAGCTTCCCAGGTTTTTTTTTTTCTCATTTCAAACACAGGACACAGAGCTCTTGAGAGGAAGGGAACAGGGGTGGAGCAATTCTCAGAGATGACCACCTCCAGTTCAGACTAAATTTTCATATGTGAGCTTTCCAGGAAATTCACCAGAATGCCCCGCATCTCACAGTACGCAGCCAGCCCTGCCCAAGCTATCAGCTGGCATTCAAGTGGTCAGGTTTACTCAGGGACAAGGAAGGTCACCCTATACAAGGTTCTCCCACTGGCTGCCCAGGTTTGAAGAAAGCCCACCTCATGCAGGCTGCTCAGGAGGGGTCCTAGCCATGCCCATCCCCATGGTCCCAAATAAGACCCAGAAAACTGACCACCAGCCTCTTCGTGAGGTACCACCATGAGCACCTCCACAGCAGGATCCATACTCTCCATTAGATTGTATGCTTCTTGAGGGCAGACTGTCTTTTTTTTCATATCTGTATCACCAGAGCCTAGCACAGTGCTGGGCACAGAGGAGGCATTTAATAAGTGTTCATCGACCGACTCTCTTGTTCCATACCCTTGGTTAAATAAATGAGAGCAAAAATTCCATGTCTGCCTCATTATTTCAGCATTCAGGAAGAGCCCACCACAGGCATTGTTCATCCAAAGGAAATTCCTCTGTTAGCCATAGACTATTTCCTCCAGGTTTACAGGGCCTCCTCCACAAATACAAACACACTCAATGGGGAAATCCAAACCACAAGGAGGACCCCAGCCTGGACCTCCATGAAGGTACCTGCCCCCTGCCCTGCCTCACCAGGACCCTGCTCTTTGCCTCCCATGCCCAGCCCTAGGCTGGGGTGCAGGCGGGACCCAGGGCCACAGCCCTGCTGTGGCTTCAGGGGGAAAGCACCAAGAAGCATCCTCCCCAACAGCCAGTGCAGAAGATGATGGCAGTGCTGCTGATGCTGCCCACAGACCTGCACTTCCTAGCTTTTCAGCAATGCCTCATTTCTTCCTCATCTTGACCACAACGCCTTCCCCTTTCCCTGCACTGGAACATGAGGAAAAGTTTTGAATTCTTTGTTGATGTTCAGTTTCAAGAGAACCGTGGATACATAATTTGATCATGGAGTGGGGAGGGGGAGGAGAGATGACGATGCCTTGTCTACCTCTCTCCCTTTCCCTGAGTCTCTGCTCCGTTCAATTTTCTTTAATTCACTTCAAGGATACCTTGTAAAATTCACTGATGTGCTCGATTTATTTTACAGGGCAAATATACAATAGCTATCACTAAATAGAGCTGTTAATAAGAAAATGACCCCCTGGGCGCCAGAGTTCTGTGGAACACGGGTGGAGACCGCGCTGCTGGTCATGACGCCTTTCACAATGCTTCAGTTTCAATGAATCAAGGCCAGTGTGAAACACCAAAGAAGAGGGACTGAAATATTCACGTTTTAGGTCAATGAGTCTGAAGTGAATTCCTGGCCAGATTCTAAAAAGTATCGCTAAAGGGATCGCCAGTGAGCATTTAGAAAGGGAAGGACCAAAAGGCAGTTTAGCAGTCAACATCTGTGGTGGGATTTGAACCCAGACCCTCTGTTGCCCAAACCAGTGTTGTGGCCATTCCAGTGGATCGCACCCCCTCCCCTAAGAAGTCCTCTGTCCCCTTCTCGCAGGCTGATGTCTCTAACGCTTTTCAGAAAATTTCTCATCCTCTCCCCTCGCTGCCAGTGCCGTCCCCCAGGGCGCTTAATAAAGGCTGGCTGAATGAAGTGGAGTACATAGTTTTCCCAGGCTGCAGGTAGCTTCGTGGCATTATGAGGTGCAGAGGAGCCGCCAGGCTGCACTGGCAGAGGGTGCTTCTCCCCCAGGACACCCTCGTACTAATGAACCCCCACGTCCAGCTCCACTTCTTATTTCTGTACTGGGGACAGAAAGGCCAAAGGAGTAACAGTCCAGGAGTCCACGAGGTTCTGTGCTTGTATGGCCTACATCCTGGAGATTAAAGGGGAATGTTGAGGGAGGGAGGGAAGGAGGGAAGTAGGGAAGGGAGGGAGAGAAGGAAGGAAGGAAAGAAGGAAGGAAGGAAGGAAGGAAGGAGGGAAGGAGGAAGGAAGGAGAAGGAGGGAAGAAGGAGGAAGGAAGAGGGAGGAGGAGGAAGGAGGGAAGGAAGGAGGAAGGAAGGAGGGAAGGAAGGAGGGAAGGAGAAGGAAGAAGGAAGGAGAAGGAAGGAGGGAAGGAAGGAGGGAAGGAAGGAGGGAAGGAAAGAGGGAAGGAGGGAAGGAAGGAAGGAGGGAAGGAAGGAGGGAAGGAAGGAGGGAAGGAAGGAGAAGGAGGGAAGGAAGGAAGGAGGGAAGGAAGGAGGGAAGGAAGGAGGGAAGGAAGGGAGGGAAGGAAGGAAGGAAGAAAAGAAAGAAAAAGAGAAGGAAGGAAGAGAGGAAAAAGGAAGGAAGAAAGAGAAAGAGAAAAAGAGAGGAAGGAAGGGTGGAAGGGAGGAAGGAAAGAGGAAGTCTGCTCAGTCACAGCATTCATTAAATGCTGATTATGTGTCAGACACTGTGCCAAGCACTAGGGATGCAAAGACAGACACTCCCTGCCTTCAGGGAGCTCCTGTTCTACGAAGATGGTCCAGTGAGTGCCCAGAGCATCCTTGGGGAACCTGAGAGAGACAGACGCTTGGAACTTCTGCTCTTCACTGTCTGCAGCCCCTTCAGCATTTCACCCAGAATTTGGTGGGACCCGGAGGGGTTTCTCAAGTCCTTTTATCTTCCTGAGAAGAGGAAGGGCATCCTAGTCTCCCCAAAGTCCCCTTGGTTCCTTCTAACGAAGATTGAAAATCGGGGTCCCCACAAAAATCTCTTAGAGCAAATAAAATCACAAGATGTTGAAGATAATCCAAAAATTTGAGGATGAAATATGAAAACCCCACCCCCTCCCCCTTTGTTTCTAAAGTTTGTGATTCCAACCCCCACCCCTTTCACAGCCAGGTCTCCAAACCTTTGGACCCAATAGCTCAAGGGGAAAAAAAAATGCCATTTTCAGGCAAAAAAAAAAAAGGTTGTCTTTCCTTGGCATAAAGCAGCCTCTGAGCATTTAAATAAATTCTAACTTTTGGTGTAAATGTCACAATTTATTACAGCGCAAACAACGCATTAATTTTGTTTTTTCCTCTTATGAAGCATTCAGAGATAAGTTTTCCTCTAAGAATTCCCTTGGCTGAATCTCATAAATTGTGATGTGCTCTATTTATGTTGTCATTGTCTTTGCTACGGTCTCTTAGTGTTCCTGTATTTTTTTTTCTGTAACTGCTCTCATTCAACAAGTCATTTTTCAGAGCCTCTGTGTAGATTTGCTCTCTTGACCAGGCCTTCCATGTTTATTGCTACTTTAGTTGAATAATCCATGAAATCCATAAAACGTGAGCCTTTCTGAGTTTGTAATGGATTTGGAGCTAATCCCTGAGTTGTGTTAAGAGACGTTTGTTAGAGCACTTCCTCTTCAGGGTATAGAAGCTAACAAACATGTGATTTGTCTAGAGAATCATTCCATCTCCAAAACAGCGCAAGAAAACTTCCAGGAAACCTGTTATGCTGGCCCTGATTCAAACAAGCCAGGAAAAAAAATGGCTGTTGAAGAAAAAATAATGAGACCCTCAGGGACAAGAGACGATTCTATCAGAGTTTGTGATATACAAGGAGAGACAAGTCTGGAGTGGTCGTGGCAGATTTGGGGAGAGCTGATTTAGAAGGTCATAGAGGAAGGTATGGTTCTATCCAATCACCTGACATTCTGCAAGGGAAGTAGGCTCTAGAGGGATGGAAAACCGTCCAGAATTCAGTTCTGAAGACGTAAATAGACACAACTTTGTGGAGGGGGAAGGAGAGAGTTTGCTAAAGAGACCAATGTGGCCACCCGGGGATCTTTCTGGCCAACTTAGATTTTAAAAAGCTCTGCAGCATGCGGCCTCAAGTCAATATTAATAATGGGACAGCGTTACCAGAGGCACACAAGTTCAGAATGAGATGTGGATGACAAAAGTGTGGCTGCTTTATTTTGTTTCCTGGTTAACTACAAGACATTAGGAGACAGTCCCTCAACCGATTCAAAGAGATTTCCTTTTGCCCCTTAGAGATTGTGTTCACACCAAGCGCACACCCCAAAGATGTGTTCTCACCCAACGAAGGTGTCAGGACTAAGACAGGTGAATAACTGATTGATTTGTTCAGTCAAGTCCTACTGTCAAACTGGGGTGGCGTGGGAACCAAAAAGTGAACTGTGTGATGGTCAGTTGAAATAATTGGAAATATTTTTCCTAGAGGAAGTAAAAAGAAAAAAAGAAAACCTTTCGTCTGAAGGCAGAACTCAATGCTTATTGTCCATTTGCTTTCTCTTCCAAGGAGAATAATATCTGGACTGAAAAGAACAGCGTGTGGTCATTACGGAGCTGAAAGCCAAGGTGAGTAGGGGAGGGTAAGAGAACACAGTCTGTTTCTGATGAGCTCAAGACACACCTGGTCCAGAAGAACCAAGTCCGGGGGTTCTAAGGGTGGTCATCAGCTTCCAATTGAAGTTTATCTGGAGAAGATCAATCTGTCAATGCATAAGCATTTATTAACTGCCTACTTAGAACTATGATAGTCATTGGGCTTCCAAAGACAAAACTAACAACCCAATAGTCTAGTGAGTGTTCCAGGACCTTCCTATGGAGTGCACAGGGATAACAGCGGATTTGCTGAGGAACTTTCCAAGAAAAGTCATGTTCCCATCCCTAGTCTACTCCAATCCAATAAGCATTCCTTTAGCGCCTGCTAGATGCCAGGCACCACTCTGTGCTAGGCACTGAGGATTCAGGTACAGAAGTGAAGAAGGCCCTGCCCACAGGGAGCTCATACTCTACTAAGGGAATGCAACATGTTGACAGATACATAGGCAGGTTATACATATATGTGTGTGTGCGTAGGTGTGTGCATACGTGTGTTTGTGTGTGTGTGCGTGTGTGTGCGTGTGTGTGCATCTGTGTCTGTTAGTGGGGGTAGGGCAATGTCATTCTCATTTCTTTCCTCTTTCAAGTCTTTCTCTTTTTGATTCTGAAACCAAAAGGAATCAGTGAAAGGGGAAAGTCTTACCAAGTCGTCCTCGTGGTTTGGTCTCCCTGATGCCACCGTCCTAGGGAAGAATTATTGAGGAGAGTCAGGATTGTTGAACTCTCATGGTTAGAGTTTGAAGAAGCCTCAAGAAGCCGGGGATCAGCTAGGTGACACAGTGGATAGAGCACTGACCCTGGAGTCAAGAGGGCTTGAGTTCAAATCCGGCCTCAGACACATAACACTTGCTAACTGTGTGACCCTGGACAAGTCACTAAACCCCAGTTGCCTTGCAAAAAGAAAAAAAAAAAGAAGCTAAGGGTCCCAGTTGTGGTTCATGCACACTAGCAAGTCCTTTTGTTGCTGTCTGAGAGGATTAGACCCCTCAAGGACTGGAGTATAGAATGCGGTTGTCTGGAATGAATTCACAGACTCAAGCATTCTGTAAGTCAAGGTGGCAAAGATTTCTGAGGCCAAGGAGAAATTGGGATCCAAACACAGGCACCCGAGCACGCCATCACTTTATACTCTTAGAGCTCAGTTTTCTCATCTGTAAAATGGGACAATAATGCCAGGTCATCCACACCCCAGGGCTAATTATCAACCTGGTAGCATTCTAGAATGTGAGTTATCATTATACATGACAAGACAAGGGGGTTGGGCTAGGCCAGGGGTGGGGCCTTTATATGCCAGGCACTACTCTGAGTCCAGGTTTTACAGAATAAATCTTTTTATTATGGGGATCTGTTCTGTGAAGTTTGGATTCAGTCAAAGGGCTGCACTTGAGGACCTAGAGGGCCAAGTGTGGCCTCGAGGCTGCAGGTTCCCCACACCTGCTTTTGACCCTTCATTATTTACTGACTTAATTTCCCTCTTACTGTTTTACATCATCCCCAGCTCTCTGTTATTTAGAGGCTAAAGTCCAAACTTCTTGCCTGGCATCAGAAGTCATTCATATCCTGGTTTCTAGCCAATTTTTTTGCCTTATCTCCTTATCTCCACTAACATTATGGGTTGGACTAAATGTTCCCTCAGGCCCTTCCAGCCTTTGGATTCCAGGATTCTGGTGTTCCTCTTCCTCCTCCTGTCTGGTCTGCTCCTCCACCCGCCTGGTCTGCTGACTGCCCTCCTGCCATGCCTTCTACATTCCTGCCTTCATGGTTCATGCCATTTCCCTGTGGGGAGAGCCCTGCTCTTTCCTCACCCTCATCTGAATTCACTTCCATAAGCTTTTCAGTTTTAAATTTTCTCCACCTCCCTCCTATGCAATCTGATACAGGCTCTACATATACATTCCTATTAAACATATTTTCACATTAGTCATGTTGTAAAGAAGAATTAGAACCAATGGGAGGAACCACAAAAAAGAAGAAGCAAAACAAAACAGAACAAAAAAAGAGCAAATTGCCTGCTTCGATCTGCACTCAGACTCCATAGTTCTTTCTCTGGATGTGGATAGCATTTTCCATCATCAGACTTTTGAAGATGCATTGACTGACTTTCTAGGTGACTCTGGGTGAGTCAATTCCACTCCATGGGCCTGTTTCCTCCTCATCTGTACAATGAGTGAGTCAGACACAGTGACCTCTAAGGTCCTTCCAGCTCTGGATCTGTGCTCCTAGAACCTTGGGTTCTCTCTTCTCAATCATCCTCATTGTTGCCTATCTCTTGGCTCCTTCCCCATTGCCTAGAGATATGCTCAGATCTCTCCCTCACTTAAAAATTCTTTCCTTGGCCATCCCATCCCCTCAGGCGATCTTCCTATTTCTCTCCCATGTTTCACAGCCAAAGGCCAGGAGAAATTCATCCACACTTGCTGCCTCTACTTCATTTAACATTCACTTGACAACCCCTTGTAATCTAGCTTCTGACTTCACCACTCAACAGACCCTACTCTCTCCAAAATGATCACCACTCTCTGAATGGTCAAATCCAATGTCCTCATTCTTATGGAGCTCTCTGGGGCTTGTGGTCCTGCTAGCCCTCCACTCCTCTTGGTTACCCTCTTCTGCCTCCACCCTCATGACCCTCCTTTCTCCTCAGGTTCAAAGCAGAACACATCATTGAGATGCAGCTGGTGGTGCAATAGATAGAGTGCTGGACCTGCAGTCAGGAAGACTTGGGTTTGAATCTGACCTCAGATGTTTACTAGCTCTGTGATCCTGGGCAATTCACTTATCCTTTATCTGCCTCAGTTTCTTTGTAAGGATCAAATGAGATAATATTTTTAAAAGCACTCAGCACATAATAGGTGTCATATAAATTGTTTCCATGATCTTCTCACTAAACCTGCCCCTTCTTCACATTTTCCTATATCTGATGAGGGCATCACTACACTTCCAGTCACCTGGGTTCTTAACCTTGGAGTCACTTCTGTCTGTCCATTCAGTGACTAGTATAGTCCAGGGAGAATGCATGTTCATTATCGGTTGATTGAGTCAGCCACTACTCATGACTTTCCTTCATCTCCCATATTGAATCAGTTGTCAAGTTCTTTGATTCTGCCCCCAGACATCTCTTCTGCCTGCTCACATAGGCACCTTGGAGTTCAGGACCTGATCACATCTCACCTAGAATAATGAACAGCCATCAAGTATTGTCTCTGCTTCCAGCTTCTTCCATCTGTGGATTCCTTCTCTGGCTGCTGCCCATGGTGGGCAAATTGCATTGAATTGTTTCTATACTTCCTGGTGAATTTATGTTTGCCTACCCCTACCCCCCCCCCAATCATGTGTATATGTCAACATTTTCACAAACATTTATTATCCTCTCATTGATCAAGGCAAAGTCCTGGGCTGGGTTTCCTTGTAGGAACACACCTGCCTGACTAAGGCCACACATGGTAAGGATCTCATAAAAGGGAGTCAAGGAATTTGTTTCCTGAGGGATTTGCTTAAGCTTCTTCTGGGTCTTTTACTCAAGAAGAGAAATAACTGAGAAGACTCAGATTTCTATCCTTTTTTTCCCACTAAGGTGCTGGTGGCTTTGGGCCTTACACAAGGGCTTGGATTGGATAAACTCAGTGGCCAGTCTTTCCCTCTCTAAGCTGTGGTTCCCCATATGGAAAATGGGGGAGTGGGATGAGCTCTAAGGCCCTTTGAAGTTGGAACTGCTGGGATTCTCTGATAGCCCCTTCTGGCTAGAAGACCTTAGCTTTGTATGATTGTATTGGATGCCCTGCAGACAGAGCACGGCGCTGGCCTCACCAGAGGTGCTTGGTAAAGGCTGTGTTGGGAACTGAAGATACCAACACTTAACAAGCTAGAGCTTTAGTTCACCATGTCTTTATGTCCCCAGTGCTTAGCTCAGCGTTTGGCCTCAACAACGCCATGTGTGCACTTAGCACTTTTAGGATGGTCCTTCCTGGTTCTGCCACAAAGGGGACACGAGGTCATTAGAGCTGCCCCAATGTCCTCTCTTCATATGATGCATGCTGGCATTGCACGGACAAGTGGTGTGGGGCATTTCCTTCAATGGCCAAGGTAGCCCACACATATCTCCCCATTCACAAGGCATGTGCTGCGCACATCAGTCAGTCAACAAATATTTATTAAGCACTTACCATGTGCCAGGCAATGTGCTAAGTGCTGGAATACCAATACAAAATAGACAGTCCTAACCTTAATGTTTGCAATCATATGGGGGGGACACACTCAAAAAGACACTGCAGAGAAATGATGAGCCGAAGCTGGGGGTGGAGCTCTTCCCTTCAAGGGTGCTGAGGAGTCTGAGTCCTGTGCAGCCAGATGGAAGCTGGCTGCCACACCAAAGGCGAAGGAGAGACAGACCTCTCCCTGGACGTGAATAGAAGACTCCTTGAAAGGGCCCAGCAGCTATCACAGGAACATTTAATCCTCTAAAAATCCTTCTCCATTGATGGAGAACACAGGTCATTGTGCTAAAGCTTTTTTCACAGCTAGGATGTTGCTCTTCACCACAGGGGTCATTGGTTGCTCCCAGAGACCTTTGAGCTTTAGGGAAATGACTCTCTCTGTGTGGACAGCTCAGTTACCATTAAAACAAACACAGAAACACATTAGTAGATCATGTCACACAAGCAGTAAGCATCAGATAGAATTGGAACCCAGATCCTCTGACTCAAGAGTTAGGGCTCTTACACCAGTGTGAAGACCATATAAGGAATGATTAAAAGAGCTGAGGATAGCACTATGTAGGGGGGAAAAGCATTAGATTGAGAGTCAGAGATTGTGGGGTTAATTAGAGGCAGGTGCAGTGGATAGACTGCTAGGCCTGGAGTCAGGAAGACCTGAGTTCAAATATGACCTCAGTCACTGTCTATGTGATCCTGGGCAAGTCTCTTAACCTCCAGCTGCCTCAGTTTCCCAATCTGAAAAATGGGGATGACAATAGCACCTACTTACCAGATTGTTGTGAGGAACAGTGATGCTCTGCTGGTTCTAGAAATCCAGGACAACCTTCCTGACTTTTCAGACTCTCAAGGTCAGAAGCACAGAAGGGAAACAACCAGAGGCAGGAATTGAGGCCTTTTCATAAGGATTCAGGGCCTCAGGAGGGAGAAGACACCATGGCTTCCCCCCAAGACCTTTGGTTCTCCTGGAAGCTGGGAGTGGGGAGTCACGTCACTGGAAGGCAGCCCAAGAGAAGAACGTGATGGCGGCCATTGCAGAAAATGTCTGCAGCCAATAACAGAGCAGTGCACTTACTGCAGGGTTAGGAGACTGGAACCAGTTACCCAAATGTCTACACATGCCCCACAGTCTTTCTCTTACAGGTCAAAGCCCCCAGCTTCTGGAGGAGAGTCGCTGTCCTAGGTACTGAGCATATGCACCAGACCCCAGGGCCATTGATTTGATACCTATCTTCAAGTATCTGAAGGGCCATCGTGTTCAGAAGGAGTAGTTTTGTTCTTCTGAGCCCCAGAGGGAAGGACTAGGAGCAATGGTGGCAGGTAGGCATCCTTACAACAAGAGGGATCCATGCAAAGGACTCCCTGGAGCCCTTTAAGCAAAGGCTGGACGGCAGCTTGTTGGACCTTGGGGTAAAGGCTGGGCTAGCTGGCTTCTGAAGGCTCTCCCCAGTCTGAGATCCTATGATCTCCAGCAGTATGTGCTGAATTGACACCCCCTTCCTGGGAATGTTTGCTGTCAGGCAGTGGAGCTGTGAGGGGAAGGAGGAGAGTGACAGCCCACATGCAGAGAGTGTAAGAGAATGAAGCAATCTGAAAACACAGCCATCTGTTTACAGCCACAAAGAAAACTCTTTCATGTGCCAAAAGTATTGGAAACATGCTGTCAGTGCCCCTTAAAGTTATTGGAAGGGATCTGCTGGAGGCTGTGATGCCATGGAGCCCACACATGACCTGTGACCAGTCTTATCCATCCATGACCCAGCCCTCACCATCACCTTGTTGTTTGTAAAATAGCCCTAACATACTCAACTCTGGAAAAATGCATTGTTCATTCCCTTCTTTTGCCTTCACTCCAGATCCCTCATTATCTCTTGAATAGGCACCGTAGTTCCTGACCTCTGCACATGGCTTCACATAGTACTCTCCACTGAGGATGACCTCACCTTCCCATTGCTAAAGGTCAAAATCCTACCTGTTCTTCCCTCCCTCTTCAAATGCTACATCCACAAAGCCTCCTCTGATGGCCCCTTCTGGAAGAGCCCTCACCCTTTTGGGTGTGCCCAAAGTATGTCTGTGCACCCCTCCTGCAGCCTGGACTCCATTCTGTGTGGTATCAGAATGCCACCTGGGCATCCCCTTTTGCTTGGGTTTCAGCTCCTTAAGCGCTTTGAGGTCTGGCCAAGCCACATCCATCTCCTTGTTCCCCATGTGCCTTGTGCTCTTAGGAACAAAGCAGACCTGGACCTGACTCAGAGAAAGTCGAGGATTCCTCTCCCCTCCAGGACACAGCCTCTGCTCAAAAAGAAACAAGCAAACCATCCCAAATCTGAGTTATGTTTCTCCTCTTCAGTGACTGGTGAATAGAAACAAGCTCAGAATGCCTGAAGGGTGAAGCAAGTTTGGATCCAAGTGACTCCATCCCTGCTGCAGCTCCCTGTGCACTCATGGGGCTCGGAAAACCTGAGAAGAGCCTGCCTTTCCTTGGCCCTGAGAGACAGGGACAATTGAGGTGAGATGCCTAGCCAGTGTGGACCTTGGCCTTGGAATGCTATTCCATAGGACTGATTTCAACCCTTCCTCAATCCCATCAATGGAGCCAGAGTCCCAAGGCCAGTAATAGGCATTTGCAAGAGTCAAGATTAACGGGGATCTACAGTCCAAATACTCTGGAAAGAAGGACCACCTCCTCTAAGGGTGGATCACCTCCTCTGATCACCCCACATTTAGCATCTCCACTCTCCCAATTACTTTGTCTTTATTTTGTGTTTAACTTAAATTTACTCATTGTAAGTAAACATGTTGTTTCCTTCTGGTAGAATGGAAACTCCTTGAGGGCAGGGACTGTTTAATTTTTGTCTTTATATTTCCAGTGCCTAGCACAGTGCCTGGTGCATTGTAGATGCTTAATAAATGTTTACTGACTTGGTTGGCCCATAGAATTTATGTGTCTCATGGTTGATTCAATTGAATGATCAGGGCTGCTGCTGTGAGACTACCCCTAATCAAAGGAGGAAAAGTTACTTGTAATTCAGAATTTAGGGCCTTGCCTTGTTTCGGATGGTGTTTATTCAGGGGGTGGGGAGAGTTCGACTTATTTGTACATGAAAATCAATTCTCATCACTCCAAGCCATGTAGAAGCAAGTCTGTAAACACTGTAGTCATGTCAGTCATCTATTACAAAGGAGGGGCTTACCCTCTGCTGTCTTTATTTGCTTGAACCTTTTTGTGGATGCTAATGATCAGTGAAATGGCCCAGGGATAGGTGGAGACAGAGTGAAGAAAAGCCGGGAGCCAGACAAGCCTTGAACTCGGTGGGCCACCCTGAAGGACTGACGTTTGGCTACCTGTCACTACCTGGAGGGTCTAGTAGTTGTCAGAAAACTCCACCTTGAGCAAACAGAAGGGAAAGACCAGGCTTGTTCAACTCCCATGGCCCTTGCAGAGAGTTCCCTCTGTCTCTCTCTGTCTCTATCTCTGTCTGTCTGTCTCTGTCTCTCTCTATTTCTCTCTCTCTGTCTCTTCCGCACTCCCTCTCCCTCTCCTTCCCTCGTTCCCTCTCTCCCCATCTCTGCCCCCTTCTCCATCTCTCCCTCACTCTCTCAGATAAGCAGCAAGTCTTTTTTTATTAGAAGTCACAGAATTTAGAGTTGTAGGCATCAGCTTTATAAGTCATCTTGTCCACTTCTATCTTGTTTTATAAATGAAATCACTTTGGCATAGAAAGAAAGGCTCAGTGATTTGCCAAAGGCCACATAGCTCACTTGTGAGAGAGCCAGGAGCATTCATCCATTCAACAGGCATGTACTGAACACCACTCTAGTGGGAGTTGAACTGGAAACTTCCAGGGATGAGGTGACTCAGCTCTCAGGCCCTTTAGAGATAATTAGCTTCTTTGCTGCCCTGGCATTGTTGGGCTTTGTGCTTTGAGCTACTAAGCCAATCTCATTATTAATTAGTTAATAAACAAGAAGAGCTGGTGACTTTGGTGGATATTGAAGGGGTAGGGGGTGATCCCACCTTGTCAATCCTCCTCCTTTTTGGCTTCAGGTCCTGTCAAGACTTTGAAGAGGAGAGGAGTGACCCTATCTTCCACCCTGGCCACCGTGAAGCCATAAGAACATGGCATAAGGGCCATGCCCCCTGACTAAGCAAACAGTTTGGGAGCTACCTTGTTTGTATTTCTTCTTCCTTGGTCTTAGGTGGATGAGTATGTATCCAACAATGAGGCTTAGAGGAAACCCTGTAAATTCCAGGTCTGGAGGTCCTAGGTCCTTCTGGTTAGAGTTGATCAGGTGAGGGGAGGAGTCCTCAATGACTACTAGAGTGTTCTTGAGGGAGATAACCATTACCAAGAGGATTGGCCCAAGCTCGACCCATTTTGTGAGAAGATTGTTTGGACAGCATAGAGCCAGAACTGCTTGGATAAATCCACATAGGGGAGGGAAGGGGTAAGCATGGTGCCCCAACAAGTCTTTTTTTCCAGTATTTTATTTTTCCTCAATTTCATGTAAAAACAATTTTTAACGTTCATTTTTAAAACTTTGAGTTCCAAATTCTCTCTCTTTTTCCTTCCCCACTTTCCTCAATTGAGAAGGCAAACAATTCTATATAGGTTATACATGTGTAGTCATGCAAAACATACTTCCATATTAGTCATGTTGTAAAAGAAAACACAGAACAAAATTTTAAAACCCAAGAAATATAAAGTAAAAAATGTATGCTTTGGTCTGTATTCTGACTCCATCGGTTCTTTCTCTGCAGATGGAGAGCATTTTTCAGCACGAGTCCTTCACAGTTGCCTTGGATCATTGGATTGCTGAGAAGAGCTAAGTCATCCACATCTGATCATCTTACAATATTGCTGTTACTTGGTACACAGCAAAGTACTTTGTACTTTGTTCACTTGTAAGTCTTTTTAGGTTTTTCTTTTTTTTTTTTTGTTTGGTTTTAGGCAATTGGGGTTAAGTGACTTCCCCAGGGTCACACAGCTAGTAAGTGTCAAGTGTTTGGTCTTAGGCCAGATTTGAACTCAGGTCTTCCTGACTTCAGGGCCGGTGCTCTATCTGCTGCCTAGCTGCCCCTTTTCAGGTTTTTCTGAGAGCATCCTGCTCATCATTTCTTATAACACAATAGTATTCCATCACACACACATAGCACAAATTATTCAGCCATTCCTCAATTGATGGGCATCCCCAATTTCCAATTCTTTGCCACCAGAAAAGATCTGCTACTATATACATATAATATTCCATACATATAGGTCCTTTTCCTTTTTGCCTTTTTTATCTTTTGGGGGATACAAACCTAGCAGTGGTATTGCTAGGTCAAAGGGCATGCATGGTTCTATAGCCCTTTAGGCATAGTTCCAAATTGCTCTAAAGAATGGTTGAATCAGTTCACAATTTCATCAACAATGAATTAATGTCTCATTTTTCCCACATCCCCTCCAACATTTGTCATTTACCGTCTCTGTCCTATTGGCCAATCAAATAGGTATGAGGTAGTACCTCAGAATTGTTTCAATTTGCATTTCTACAATCAATAGTGATTTAGAGCATTTTTTTTCAATAGGGATATAGATAGCTTTGTTTACTTAATCTGAAAACTGTTCATATCTTTTGATCATTTATCAATTGGGAAATGATTTATTTTTATAAATTTGACTCAGTTCTCATTTGAAAAATGAGGCCTTTGTCAGAGAAACTTGCCTCAAATTTTATTTTCAGTTACAATTGATAAATGCATTTCCCTCCATCCTATTCACCTCTTGCTTATTCTATTCTCTCTCCTTTCACCCTGTCCCTCCTCAAAAAGGTTTTGCTTCTTATTACTACCTCCCCCAATCCTCCCCCTCTTCTGTCATGCCCCCTTCTCTTATTCACTTTCCCTCCTACTTTTCTATAGGGTAAGATAAATTTCTATAGCCAGTTGAGTGTGTTTCCTCTTTGAGCCAATTCTGATGAGAGTAAGGTTGACTCACTCCCTTTCACCTCGCCCTTCTTTCCCTCCATTGTAAAAGCTTTTTCTTGCCTTTTTAATGTGAGATAATTTACCTTATTCTACCCCTCCCTTTCTCTTTCTCCCAGTGCATTCCTCTCTCTCACCCCTTAATTTTATTTTTTAGATATCATCCCTCATATTCAACTCACACCTGGGCCCTTTGTCTATATATACACTCCCCAAATGTATTCAGTCATCTTTCCCTGAAGGAGATGCCATGAATGTGCTAAACACAGACCAGCTTGCTGTGCATCGGTTGTGATATTTTTAGAAACTAAATGAAAGGGCTCACTAAATTCTGCTGTGGAAAACATTGATTTTCTCTCCCTTGTTCCATAATTTAGCCACTGAAGGAAGGATTGGAAAGCAGACACAGCCAGGTGGCACAGGAGGTGGAGTGATCTGGAGTCAGAAGAGCCCAAGTGTCCATCCACACTCATACCTGTGGGACCTGGCCAAGATGTCATCTTTGTCAGCATCAGTTTTCTTATCTGGAAAATGGGGGTGATAGCAGCACCCCCTCCTAGGGATGTTGTGAGGACCAAATGAGTTCATCTTTGTAAAAAGTGTTTCGTAAACCTGAAACACACATTCCAATAATCATGATGGTTTTCCACTCCCTCCTATCTCACACAATCCAGATGCTCAGCCCCTAGAACACAAGAGGATTGGACATTATCAGGAGACCTTCTATTTGCCCCTTTCCTGTCTCTATTCCCAGGATGCATTGTGTTTCAGTTATCCCAGTTATGCATCGGCTTATCAGTCAAAAGACAAAGGCCTTGCTTTTAAGTGTAGACGGTGAAATAGAATGTTTCTGGGTGGTCTAAAAAGTGTGGATGGTCTTTAGGTGGTCTTTAACGTGTTTAGTGGGTGCTTCTGGCCAAAGGAGTGTTGACAGCACACCCATCCTCCCATCCCTCCAGCTCCCCCAGGAGTCCACTTGGACTCCCCCCTCTCTCTCATCTCCCCGCCCCCTCCCCTTTCCAAGTCATAGCCCCTTCTCTCTGGGGACACTGCCTCACCCTGGTTGCAGACCCCCACCCCTTCACTCTGGGCCGCTGCAGTAGATGCTGAGGGGTCTGCCTGCCTCCATCTCTCCTCACCCCAGCCATCCTCCATTCAGCCACCAAAGGGATTTTTCTAAAGCACGAGTTGGATCATGGCACCCCTCTACTCAGTGGGCTCTGGTAGCTCCCTATTCCCTCCAGGATACAATACAAATTCCTCCCTTTGGCTTTTCAAGCCCTTCCTCCCTTTTCAGCTTTCTCACATTTGCTACAATCCCGCGACAGTGGCTGTAGCCCACGTGAGCCATCCCACCTCCTGGGTATTTTCTCTGGCTGTCCGCCATACTTGGAACCCTGGGCCTCCCTGGTTTCTGCCTCCCGGCTTCCTCTGAAGTCCCACCTCCCATGAGAAGCCTTTCCCAGCTTTCCCTCTAAGACCAGTCTCATCTATCCTGCCGTGACTGTGTAGTTGTATGTGCCTGGGTCTGCCTCATTAATGCGTAAGCTGCTTGGGGGAAAGGGCTAGGACTGGCATTTGCCTTTCTTCACATCCCCAGTGCTTAGCATAGCGTCCTGCGCAAGGCAAGGTACCTGATAAATGCGCATTGACTGATTGCTGGTAAAGAGCTGATCCCTGGACAGCAGAAGGGTTGTTGCTGAGTAGCATCTACCGGCCCCCAGCCAGGCAGGGAAACCCAGCAAAGCCTGGGGCAGCCCAGGGGTGGCTCCGCACCGGAACAGGCTATTCACAGAACCAGATTTCCACATCATTGTGAAGCTCATCTGGTACCAGGACACATCGGAAGGAGAATGGAAGTGTTTCCTTCATCTAGTCATCAATCAATCAATTAACTAGTAACCACCTACTATGTGTCAGGAACTGTGCATGCTCTCAAGAAGCTCACCTCGTAGTGGGGAGACAGCATAAATACAGAGTGGAGAAATCTCAATATTTAAAAAGCAGGCAATTAGGAGATAGATGGGAAGGGAAGGCCCCGGTGGTTGGGGGGTCAGGAAGGGCCCCAGTGCAGCTTGAAGGAAGAGAGGGAATCCCAGAGGTACCCACCCCTTGTGTGTGTCTTCCAGTGCAGAGACCCACAAAAAGGAGTATGGAACAAAGAGAAGGCCGCTTAGGAGGGACCACAGAGCAATGGGAGGGGAGCACAGTCCAAGGAAGCTGGGTTAGTAGACTGAGCTCAGGACACCTTGGGATTGAAAAACTCAAGAGAGCATGTTGTTCTTTACCCTAAAGGCAACAGGGAGGCCCTGGTGGAGTAGGGGAGTCACATGGTCAGATCTGCAATTAAGACAAAAGATTTTGGAGGATGGACCAGAGCGGGGGAAGATTGGAGGCAGGGAGGCCCATGAGGAGCTGTTGAGAGGTGATGAGGCCCTGATCTAAAGATGGCGGCTGTGTGAGTGGAGAGAAGTGGTCAAGTGTGAGGGATGTTGTGGAGGTAGAAACAGCAAGATTTGACAGCTGTGAGGTGTCCAAGATAATGCTGTTTATGAGCCTAGGACAGAAACAGAGAGATGGGGAGCAGGAGCATCTACCCTCCCCCCCATTGAATGAACAACCACAGCTGTGTCCCGCCTCTGTGTAGAGAACCAGGTGCTCTCATTCACCTGGACGCCTCTCTGTGGCTGGTAGCTGAAGGCGGGAAGGGAGCGCCCAGGCTGACAAACTCATAGATCCTTAACTTCTCCTTAGCACATACTGAACACCTGCCTCTGGCAGGGTGGATGAGGAGGAAATTCACCCCACATGTCAGGCCCTGTCTCCGACACCTTAACAGAAGAAAGGAGGAGCAGAGAAGGTAAGGGAAAGGAAGGAAGGAAAGTAAAGACAGAAGAAAGACCCTGGTCATTACAAGCTGGGAGGCAGCAGGTTTCTGAGACACAGCTGTTCCCAGTGCAGCTCCTGGGAGCTACTGAGAGAGAAGCCTGCACATTAAGTCCCCCGGACTCAGGACATGTCCTCTGCAGTGGGAAGGTTTCGTCAATTATGCTGGTAGTTTCCGGTCAATTTATGTCAGTATTTTAGTAATTTCTGCTCATAGGAAGAAGCCAGTGATATCACCACCAGGTGGTGCACAAGAGCTAAGATGTTATTGACCCCAGGACAGTTTCCCTTCTCCTTTAAGGTCAAGTTGGTCGTGAACATGGAGCATGTAGGACATATGAGGAAGGAATAGTGTTAAAAAAAAAATTTCCCTGAATTAGCAGTATTTTTTTTTCTTTCCCACATCTCCTTTCCCTCATAAAAAAAAAGGAAAAGGAAAACCCCCCTGGAACAAATACACATGAGGAAATACCCAGAGCTGCCCCAAAACAGGGGTGGGCTGCCTTGGGCCCTGGAGGCTCCCTGCCTACCTTTGGCCATCTTCAAACCCTTGTCGGGAGGAGGGAAGCGGATGGTCTCTGAGAGCTGTTCCCACTCTGCCCTTTGATGACCTTATGCTTTCTTTCTTTTTCATTTATAAGTAGAATTGACAAAAGTTTTCCTCTGATTCATTTTAGCATGATGGTGACCCTGAGGTTGAGGAGACAGTGCTGGCTCTGATAAGCTTTTCCAAGAAGAGAAGACTCTGGGTCTTGTCTCTTTTGTACCAGCCTGGCTAAGTCCAGAGAAGTTCTGGCCACAAAGTGATGGCTAGGCTATGGCTATAGCCATTCTGCAAACAGAGAAAGAATCCAAAATGGCACTCAGGCTAGTGTGGCCTAAAGGACGTCACTCTAGAGCTGTGTGCGATCAGTAAAAGTGAATGGACTGGTTGTGTGGATGGACAGCTTGGGGGCTGCCCTGGTGCCCATGGAACATCAGAAGGCTAAGAAGAAAGGTTTTTCACCCAGCATCTGTAGACCTAAAAAAAAAAATTAATGCCTGTATTTTAACATAACTGGTTTCCTTTGTGATCCAATATATTTCATTTTATGGATTTAAAAATGTGATTCTTAGCAAGGTTCTCTAGGCTTCACCAGACTGCCAGGGAGGTCCATAATACAAAAAAGATGAAGAACTTTAAGCCTGGAGGAGACCTCTTGAATCCTGGAAGGGCTTATGGGAGGGAATAATCAAGAGTGGCCCAGGATGGGTGGCGGTCTGCACCCCTGGAGGGTCTAGTCACATACCCACGAAAGCCATGAAATAAGAGGACTAGAATAATTTGGTGATGGGTCACAAGGACAGAAATGGAAGATGCAGCTAAAACTGTTTCAGGCTCTGGAGTTTGCAGAGCTGAAATTTTACCTCCTTTCTTCATGCCTGAGGAATTCACATGGTCACAGACTCAGAGGCCGTGCTGGTTTTGTAAGGATGACAGTTCTGATAAGCTAATTAGGTGCTGAGAAGTTCCCAGCTCTCTAGAGACAGTCTGGGCAGGACCCTCTGGAAGACACTCCCCAAGAGAACCTAGTCCACAAGATGGGAATCATTCTGTTGCCCAGGACGGGGTCCTCTCTGTAGCCAGAAGCCTGAGCACTTGTCTCCAGGAAGGAACAGAATAGAAGAAGGAGACACCTTTGGGAGATGCAGAAACCCTGCCAATACCAGCCCAGTGAGCTAATGACTACTTGGAGGGAAAAGACGTCACCTTTTAAACACCCACACATTAACCCTGAAAATCCCACGGTCCCCTTCCCCCAATTGCCATAATTAACAGCTCTGTAATTAATATGGTGAATAAGGACTTTTAATGACATCCTAATAAGTACCTTGGTTCTGAGGGAGAGAGGCCAGCTCTCCAGGACACTGCTAGCTTTGGGAGTTCCCACGGTGGAGACCTGCTTTCCTCCCAACACCTGGCATTTTGGCTGGTAGAGGTCTGCTATGGTGACCTGGACTAGTCTGGTTGGACAGGAGCTCAGGACACGGCAGGCCAGGCTCCACTTCTTAGGAGTGCCCCAATAAGCCCCTCGCCTGACCTCTGCTGCTATTTGGAGGAGTCAGTCTGACACAATTGTGGCTCTCGTCTCCCTACCTCAGCTTCTGCTGTTTCCCAAACCACAGAACAGCCCCTCTGCTCCAAATTGAAAACAGGACTGAGGAAATTGAGATCTACAGAGGTCTGTTTCACGGTCACTGATGCTCAGATGAGGTGGACGGCCAGGTAACTTTCAAGGACATGAGTGTTTCTGAGCATGGACGTCAGCCCAAGCCCTATAGTGCCACATCCAGCCTGAAGCCCCTAGGTATTATGAAGGGCTGCTCCTTCTGTTGGCAATAACTGAGAAGTGGTCTGGGAGACTGTGACAGGGAGGGCGCCCAAATGGCCAGATTCTAGCCTAGCCAGATTATAGAATCCACTGCTTGCCCCCAGACACCTACAGGCCATTGGGAGGTTGTCACTGTAACCTGGCCGGGCATGACCCGTGAGGCTGGCTAGCTCCACCTTCCCCATGTTACAGATGAGGACAGTGAGGCTCCAGGGAGGTCCCAGGCCTGGGCTGTCTCCAGACTCATGTCTGCCCTCTAGGTCATCCTTGCTTCAGGGTGGACCTCGTCCTGACAGGTCTCCCTCTTGGGGCTGCTTCTGCAATCACCTTCTGCTTTGTGAATCTCAAAAGCTTGGAGCCAGGGTGAGTGGGAAGGGCAACTCTTTGCCATCCTAACGGGTTACGGGGGAGCCCCTTCAGCCCTGAGAGGCTGGTGCACCTACAGGAGGTGGA